GAGCAGAGCCGGAGAGGCTCTTCTCAAGTTGGGGTGCTCGGCTTGATGATGTGGAGTGCTTGGCTCTGCCCTTCCTTGGGGCAGTGACATTATGAGTGGCCACCTTCCCCTTGGCACTGTCTGTGCCCAGGGCAGCAGAGGAGAGAAACTCCCGAGGGGCTCCCGCACCACGAGGGCTCAAAGACCAGGACAACAGCAGTGATGGAGAGAGATGGGGGCTAACAAAGTCACCTGTCTCCCTGAAACCGCACTGCAGGCAAGGCCTCTGGCCCTGGAAGCTGTGGGGAATGGGCAGTTTGCTCCTTGCCCGGCTCTTCTTCGGCTGCTGGGTGAGTACCTGGGGGCTGCTGGCTCCCTGCCTTGCCAGCCTGCCCTGCCAAAAATACCAGTTTCCCCTCTGCGAGACCGGGAGACTTTCTCGCCTTCGTTTTCTGCAAATCACTTAAACCACTTGAAGGTTTCTTGCCGGTGCTGTTCCAGTGGGCGGTAGGGGGTAGCCCTGGCCGCAGCTCCGTGCTTGGGGCGGGTGGGACGAGACCTCTCCCCGGGCACAGCCCCTCAGAGGGGAAGGGGAAGCTGGGGTAGGTGTGAGCTCCTTGCTCCTGGTGTGGCTTCCAGTCCCGTGGCAGCTCCCAGCAATGCTGGTCATACTGGGGTAGATGGGCTCGATGTGGCTAGCATGTTCTTCCCTTGCTTGGGTCGTGGCCTTCTGATGTCGCGTACATCTCGTACCTCTTCAGAGCTGCTCTCCGAGGGTTTTGGGGCACAGATGGGAGAGGGCTCCTCCTCGCCAGCGTGTCCCAGCTGCGCTAGTGCTGCCCACTCTGCGGAGAATCTGCCTGGCCGGCTTCCAAGGGAGATGGCAGGGCTGGCTGTCTCGGGAGGCAGAGCCGGCATGGCCGGTGCCATGCGGGTTGTAAAGGAGCCGCTCCCCGCCCTGGAGAAGAGCACTTGGTGAAACGGTGCGAGATGCTGTCCCAGATACGCAGAGGTGGGGAGGCATCGCCCAAGGTGCCCAGGAGGGTGAGGCTCCTGCCCCAGCCAGGTGCGCAGGGGCGCCTGAGCAGCAGGGAGGAACGGGGTCGGGCGTTGTGGAAGAAATTTTGGAGAAGACATTTTGCAGGTGCAGCCCTGGTCTGGTGTGCAGGGCCGGGGCCTGGAGGTGCTGGGCCCCGCTTCGGGAGAGGACGAGGAGGAGCAGTGTGCTGGTTGGCAGAGCAGGGCTCCTGCTAGCCAGGTGTCTTGTAAAGTCCAGAGGGTTTGCCCTCCTGCTTTCCTCTTGCCCTCATCGTTGTGCATGGACGGGGCCTGCCTTGTCCTTGGCCGCGGGTCCTGCTGCTGCTTCCCCCCCTCTCGGGGTGCAGGGATGGGCCGGGGCATGGAGCCGTGCCCGGTGCCTGGGTGTGCCCTGCCCGCCTCTCCCTCCTCCACTGCCAGGTAGGTGCCAAGGCAGGTGTGCCTGCTCCTCCAGCCCAGACCCGTCTTACCCCTCTGCCCGCCACTCGCCTGGAGGCAGCTCTCCGCCTGGCACCATCCCCTGTTCCCTCACAATGCTGCCCCATGCAGGAGGGTCCCCCCCTCTGCCCTCGTTTGGGGCCCTGCCAGCCCTGGACCAAGGGTTCATTCCCAGCTGGAGCCTGGCTGGGGCTCTGCCGTGACAAGGACAGGGGCTGCCTCGCTGGTGATGGGACCCATCCCCGGGCTGAGTCACAGCGGGTGGTGGTGGGGGGACGGGACCAGCGCCTGCCCCTTTACCTCTACCTGCTTGGGGGCTGTGGGGGATTAGAGCACTGGCACCATATGTCACCCTGCCTGCCAAGCCCTGCACTCTGCCTCTCTCTGCTCCTGCTGCCTAAATCCATCTGCAGTTACCGCTGCGGGGGGAAGAGAGGGACAGATGCTGTCCTAGATCTGCGGGATTAAACTCCCAGCACCAAAGCAGATTAGGGTATTACACTGGCGCCTCTGAGGGGGAAGCCCGATGTCCTGAGCTCAGCCCACCCAGGGCAGGGGGGAATGGTGGTGGTTCCCTCACTGTGCTCCCACAGGGCCCCTTGGCCAGGCCCACGGAGGAGCTGGGTGCTGGCCAGTGCAGTGATGGGATCCCTACATGCCGCCGGAGTTGTCTCCAGGCTGGGCTCCAACTCTGGGATGTGAGGAGCAGGAGCAGCTCTGGAGGCACTGGAGCTGCTGCTGTTTTGCATCCCCTCGCAGGGTCTCCTCTGCCCCCGTGCTCGTGGGTGTGACGCATGGAGGGTGATGGTTGGGTGCCTTGTGGCCGGATCGCCCCTGGGTGTCCCCTGTGCCGTCGGCCTGGCTCACCCCATTCTGCGGTCGCTGCCATGGCAGTAGGGTCCTGCGCTGGCAGCGCCCGTGGGGCTGTGGGCACAAGAGGTGAGCCCTATTTTTGCTCTCTGATGATTTGCTGGAGCGCTTCACACCAGCCCCCCACAGGTGCTCCCCCAGGGCTGGGGGTTAGGCTGGTCTGTGGAGGGTGGCTAAACACACCCCGGGTCAAGCTGGCCTGGGTGCAGCTCCAGTTCAGGTGTGGAGGGTACTGAGAGCAAAAGGAAGAGCTGATGGCAGGGAACCTCCACAGCTGCCAGCCTAGGTAGGAGCCTGGAAATACAGCCCAAGAATGGGGAACGTAGAGTCCTCAGCCAGGCCACCGCCGAGCATGGCAGGAATGGCTTATGAGGACGGCTGTGGGGCTCGGAGGGGGCAGGTAGCGCCTGCGCAGCCCTCGATCGCTCCAAGAGCACCGTTGGAGCTTGGTGACGCCTGCCTGGGGCTCTGTGGGTTGCAGGGCCAGCGAGGAGGTGATGTGAGGGGCAGTGGGAAGCGCTGGAGGACTGACCCCTGGGACTGGGCCTGGGTGTCTGACTGCTTTTGTGCCTGCAGGTGCCCAGGGCTCAGTCTGTACGTCTCCCCAGTCATTCCTGTCTACAATGCAGTCGTCTTCCTCTTCGTGCTGGCCAACTTCAGTATGGCCACCTTCATGGACCCAGGCATATTCCCGCGAGGTGAGTCTGGCTCTGCTTGGGAAGTGTCTTGGATAGAGCTGCCTCCTTCCACCCTTCTTCCGAGGTAAAGAGGATTACTTGATCCCAAAAGGCTTCAGGAGAGCCCTCCTTGCCCTGCCCAGGTGGGATTGGGTGGTGACATATGCTACGGGGATGGTAGCTCTGGTTTCAGCACCCAGTCTGTAGGACCAGGTGACAGAAGCAGCATAAATCCTGGCACCCTGTATTGGGTACCTGGGGCTTAGGCAGGTGTCATGGTTTTGGGGCAGGGCCTGGGAGAGCCCCCTCTCCTCTGCCTGTATTTGGGGGTCCCTGGCTGGTCCCTGTGCCAGGTGAGATGGACCTGGTGGCAGAAGAGGGTGATGCCGGGCATCTCCAGCGTGAGAGGGTGGGAGGCTGGCTGGGCCCTGGCATCGCCTTCCCCTGTGCCCTGACGCGTGGCTGTGCTGGGGTTTCCCCATCAGCGGAGGAGGATGAGGACAAGGAGGATGACTTCCGAGCTCCCCTCTACAAGACGGTGGAGATCAAGGGCATTCAGGTGCGCATGAAATGGTGTGCAACCTGCCGCTTCTACCGGCCGCCACGCTGCTCCCACTGCAGTGTCTGCGACAACTGTGTGGAGGTGAGGAACTGCTGGGTCTCGATACCTCTTCATTTCCATGTGGAGTTTAATTCATAGTGCAGGCAGGAAGCCCTGGCAGCCAAGCCCCTCACCGTGTCTTCTCCCCACTGACAGGAGTTTGACCATCACTGTCCCTGGGTCAACAACTGCATCGGGCGGCGCAATTACCGTTACTTCTTCCTTTTCTTGCTGTCGCTGACCACGCACATCATGGGAGTGTTTGGCTTCGGCCTGCTCTACGTCCTCTACCAGGTGGAGGAGCTCTCCGGCGTCCGCATGGCTGTCACGTATCCTCTGCGAGGCTGCAGGAGCGGGGCCAAGGGGGGAGGGCATCGGTGGGGCTGGGGACAATGTGCTGTGGAGCAGGGCTGCGGCTCTTCCTTAGCTGGCTGCTGATAGTATGGTGGTGATGTGCGTGGCCGGCTTATTCTTCATTCCCGTCGCT